GATCAGTTTGTTCAGAAAACTTACATTTGCACTGAGATTATTATTATTATTAGACTGCAGATTTTACTTGAATATATAGTATTTTGTATCTAATGCAAAAGAAAATAAGGAAATACTTGTATTGTATGTATGCTCACGTTCAAAGTGAATTTAACTTTTATGATAAACTGATACCACAAATAATCTGAGCCATTTTTAGGCAAGGCAAGTTTATTTATGTAGCACATTTCATACACAATAGAAACTCCAAGTGCTTTACATAAACACAAATAAAAGACACAAGAAATTAAAAATTATTAAAACAGATCAAAACAGATAAAAAATGTGTAAAAACAGGTTGTAAAAGAATGTAAAAGAAAAGAAAGACATAATAGTGCTATCTGCCGGACATAGCACAGTGCTCATTCAGTAAAGACACAGCTAAACAGATGAGCTTTCAGTTTTGATTTGAATGTGCCTAATGTTGAAGCACATCCGATCATTTCTGGAAGCTGATTCCAGCAGCAGGGGGTGTAGTAGCTGAAGGTAGATTCACCCTGCTTTAGCTGAAATTGAATATCTAATTTATTTGATCTTAATGATCTGAGTGATCTGTTAGGTTTGTATTCAGTGAGCATAGCTGTAATGTATTGAGGTCCTAGGCCAATAAGTGACTTATAGACTAGTAGTAATACTTTAAAATCTGTTCTGAATGTAACTTAGAACCAGTGTAAAGACATGAGGACAGGTGTGATGTGCTCTGATTTTCTGGTTCTGGTCAGAATCCTGGCAGCATTGTTCTGGATGAGCTGCAACTGTTTTTTTGGAAAGGCCTGTGAGGAGTGAGGAGGCCATTACAGTAATCCACCCTGCTGCTGATAAAAGCATGAACAAGTTTTATTAAGTCTTCACTAGGAACAAAGCATCTAATTCCTGCAATGTTTTTGAGATGACAGTATGCTGATTTACTGACTGCTTTGACATGACTTCTTAAACTCAGATCTGACTCCAGAATAACACCAAGATTCACCTTAACTTTTGTTGTTTGACCCCTAGAGCCAAGGTATACATGCACCTTGAGAACCTCATCTCTGTTCCCCATGCAATGACTTCAGTTTCCTTGACTCTTTGTTTAACTGAAGAAAGTTTTGGCACATCTAACTGTTAATTTCATCAATGCAGTGGCAGAGGGTATCAATGGGGCTGTAGGCATTAGGCAGTAATGCTAAGGCTATATTCCATGGTCTCCTGGAACTAAAATAAAATAAGTAGCTGTAATGGGGAAACCATTTTAAAAAAGCATCTCTGAGACAGATGACACACACATTTGAATTTTGTTTGCTTGTTAGTTTAGTCACATAATATGATTTGTTTTGCTGTTACACATCATGTAATTAATTTGATAATTGGGTTTCCATTAGTTTTTTTTCTAATCAAATAACAAACTCGGGTGAGCATAACGGAGTGTACTTTTAAAATGATTTGAATCTTGGTGTGAGGAAATTAACAGCACATTTTCATTTTCAAGTGAACTGTCAAAGTACACATACTTTTTACCACCCCTCTAGCCTCTCACCTTAAGTGTTTGTCCTTGTCCACCTTTTTTACATTCACCAAAGTAATGGCCTGTCAGAGAAACTGAAAACTGTTTTTCTTGTCACGGGCAGCTGAAGTTCAAAACCCTTGAGCTGGTGACGACAGCCTCAGTGGAGCTGAACCCTTCCAGCCCTATGTTTCTGCCTGAAGAGAGGCCGGTCAGACATGTGAGTCACCTTCTACACACATCAGCATTCACAGAAACATTGCTAGACAACATGTTAAGATTAAGCAAATAGAAATCTACCACTGTACTGAGAAGACGATGTGAGACACTGCTTTTGTCTTTTTCATCCTTGGCAAAACAAAAGCGTTTCATTCATCTGTGTGAAAGAGTGAAGAACAATTATAAACAAGCATGAGATTAAAATGCTTTTATGCTAACTGAATTCAAATTCACTGGTTCAGACATGCTGGAACCTTCCCTTTATACATCAGTTTGTGCATTGGTGAGCTGCAGCTGTGAGCTGTTTCCCCACAGTAAAAGAACATGGAGCCAAGGGGACCGAAAGGACCAGCAGCACTCTTTAATTCTGTACTATTCTTTATTGCTGTGTGATGCTGCCATCTATTGGCAGGACAGAATAAAAAAAAAAAACATTAATGTCAGCAAATCTGATCTCAGCTGCAACAAATCAAACATTTGATAAGACATTTCCTGACATTTGCTTTGCTGTAAGAACTGGCTTGTTTAAATTAAAATATACAGAGGAAATCATACTGTCAGACCTAGCAATTGGTCGGCAAGCAGCTATTTGATGATCACTGCAATGAAGTGCAAAGGTACGTCTTTGAAAAAGCTTTACAGTTTGTTATATTGTCTTTTGCTTGTGTGTTTTCTCAGATAATCCTAGAGATTAGGAAAGAGGAGGATTACCGTGTTCCCATCTGGATTATCATAGGCAGCACACTTGGAGGCCTGTTACTCCTCTCTCTTCTCATTCTGGCACTCTGGAAGGTAATGAAAGGTAAACGATCGATAGATAGATAGATAGATAGATAGATAGATAGATAGATAGATAGATAGATAGATAGATAGATAGATAGATAGATAGATAGATAGATAGATAGATAGATAGATAGATAGATAGATAGATAGATAGATAGATAGATAGATAGATAGATAGATGGTTAGGTTTATGATAGACACAAACAGACAAGTACAGTAAATGAATGAATGGATGGATGGATGGATGGATGGATGGATGGATGGATGGATGGATGGATGACAGACAAGTAGATGGATGGATGGATGGATGGATGGATGGATGGGTGGATGGATGGATGGGTGGATGGATGGATGGATGGATGGATGGGTGGATGGATGGATTGATGGATGGATGGATGGATGGGTGGATGGATGGGTGGGTGGATGGATACAGGAATGGATACTTAGGTTTATGATAGACACACAGACAGATGGATGGATAGGTGGATGGGTGGTGGATGGGTGGATAGATGGATACAGGAATGGATGGTTAGGTTTATGATAGACACAGAGACGGACGGACGGACGGACGGATGGATGGATGGATGGATTGATTGATGGGTGGGTGGATGGAAACAGGAATGGATGCTTAGGTTTATGATAGACACACATGGATAGATAGATAGATAGATAGATAGATAGATAGATAGATAGATAGATAGATAGATAGATAGATAGATAGATAGATAGATAGATAGATAGATAGATAGATAGATAGATAGATAGATAGATAGATAGATAGATAGATAGATAGATAGATAGATAGATAGATAGGTAGGTAGGTAGGTAGGTAGGTAGGTAGGTAGGTAGATAGATCTTCAGTAGTTTTCTTAATAATGTTCTATTGTTGCTGTACTTTCTCTCTTTCTCTCTGATAGTTGGGGTTTTTCCAAAGACAGAAAAGGCGCGAAGAGGCCGAGAATGAGGTCAATGGCAAGACGATGGAGGAGAGATAACGCAGGCTGCTCAAGAGGGTTCAGACAGGCCTACATCTCAGGGACAAACCAACAACTACATTAGACGTCTCTGAAACATGAAGAGAGGGAGAAAGACAGGACTTGAGGCAATGAAAAAGCTAGAGGGAGAAGTTCTGTGCACTGGACGACCTGTTGTTCATTGATGAAAAACACTGCGATGACCCTCACCATGCCTGCACTGCTTACTGAGCCGACCCTGTGGATGGGTCTCCATCTCTCTTCTCATCCCAGACCAAAACCCTGGGGCCGACAAGGCGAGGACTTTCTCCTGAGAGACACGCTCAACAGAGACTTTTGGATGATGCATTTACAACAAATGGCTTGTGGGAAGAACACAAATTCAAAGGAAAGAACTTTTGTTTCTCACAGGGACTTTGGAAGCGCATTGATTACATTTGTTCTTCTGCAAATATACAAAAGGAAACCTCAAAGGGCTGAGATGGTACAAAACAGCCATGTTTTCTGGTGCTCTTCTAGGACATCTGGGAGGAAAAAGGGTGCAAAAGTTTTATTGTGATGGCCGTTGTTATTCTATGTAATGTAAGGCACTGGAGTAAGTAGCTCTGTTTTTTTTCAGTGGTCATAATTTATTGAATAGGCAGTCAACTATGTTGTAGACTTCACATTGTTTGTTTGTTTTTATTTTCTTGCTCTAGTACTCTACATAATGATGCATCAGCATTCTTCAGTCTCAACAGATGTGGATTTTTTTTTCTATTTTTAAAACATTGATGCACTTTTTTATATCATAGTGATACAAACTTGAATTTTGTAAATATATTTTATCTTTGTAAACACGAGTTTCAAACATCCCTAAATATGCTTCAACAAGTAGCCTTTGAGAAAGGGTATGCTTCCTGTACAGCACCTCAGCAGTCATTTCAAATATTAAAGGATATTGTCCAAATGTTTCCGAACATCAAACGATGTTGAGTGTTTACAATGCTATGAAACATCCATATTATGTGTAGATGTATTGTAGTCAGGGACCCCGATTCTCTTCATCATATACATAAAGTATAACTAAGATAATAAAGTAAATATCTGAATAAAGAATTTTGAAAAAGAGTGTTTGAATGGGGTGGCACGGTGGCTCAGTGGTTAACACTGTCGCCTCACAGCAAAAAGGTTGCTGATTTGAGTCCCGGTTGGATTTTCTGTGTGAAGTTTGTATGATTTCCTTGTGTTGGCGTAGGTTTCCTCCGCGTGCTCCTGTTTCCCCCACAGTCTAAAGACATGCGCTATAGGTGAATTAGATTAAATAAATTGCCGTAGTATATAAGCGTGTGTGCATGTAAGCGTGTATGTGTGTTCAAAAAGAACTGGGTTGCGGCTGGAGGGGCATCCGCTGTGTAAAACATTTGCTGGAATAGGTGGCGATTCATTCCACTGTGGCAACCCCTGATAAATAAGGAAAAAAGTCGAAAGAAAAGAATGTATGAATTAACAGGCAATTCATATTTTAGCAGGTGGAAATGCACAGAATTTATTTTGGTTTTGTATATATTTCCATTTTAGGAAATAGAAAAAGACTAAATGGAAAACGTTATCATCCTATCATTAAGTATTTTCCCATATTTCTCATGTATTTTATATCTTGAAAGCACGTTGAAATGAATATAAAAATGTCTGCATTCACTTTTTTCCATTTAAGCTGTGCGTCAATCAACCTCAGAATAAGTGAATGCATGTATACGGACTCGCTCCTATGACAAACTGATCCCACATCAGCTTCTGTACACGCCATTTAAAGATGCGTGTTTAAACAGACAAATAGTCTTAATAATACATAAACATATCTTCCTGCATGTTTTATTTTAAACACAGCTAATTTTCTCCTAAATGAGCACAAACAGTTACAAAAGTAATGGAACGCTTTCATTATAGATCTGTGCATTCTTACAAAGACACCTCTGTTATCAATCAAAACAAAACGAGAGATCCACTTGCCGCTCTTCACTTGTTTGATAACAGGTGTCACTTTACATGGCATGTACAGAAGCTGATCTGGGATCAGTTTATCATACAGAGTGGGTCTGTATACATGCATTCACTAATTCAGAGGTTGCATATGAAGGGTGATGATCGACATATTTTCCTATCACTGTTTTTTTCTCCCACCCATTTTTTTTTTCTCCCACTCAGTTTTGTTTTCCCCCACCATCACGTCGCTTCCGGGTCTCCGTAGAAAACTGTGATTACAACAAAGGAAAGAAAGGTTTGATCTGTCAGCGATAAAAGAGAAGCACCGCTGCTTCAGTTATCTCTCTGGAAGCACTCCAATCTGTATTAGTGCCATAGCCACTCCAGTCAAAACTTGTAAAATCTCCACATTGTCTAGGAGATTCAGGAAAGTGTCCACCTCCACCAATACAGAACTGTAGGGGGAAAAAATTATATTACTAACAAAACAACATGTAAAACTCTTCATTAATACACCAAAGATCTTCAACAGAATGTCACAAATTACGCTTCATAAAGATTGGTGAAAATAATCCATAATATTTGAACTCACATGTTCAGTGTGACAGCCAGTTGGTTTAACACCTGAACAAAGAGCCATGGCTGCCTTCTCAGTATTGAAGACTCTGAATGTGATGAATCCAGGCTCAAATATTTCTGAAAATATGGACAGAATATAACATTAATGATGATGTCATGGTGGGTCAATGCACAAATTACATAGATATGTACACTAGATTTTGCATAAGGACTCTGAGCATACGACAATAGCGCCACCACATTTGTACAGTGCTCCCAGGACAAAATCACTAGTCAAGACTAAAGCCAATCTGAAGATTTTGCACTTCTTTGCTGTGTACGGGTGTAGTAATGAGCAAACAAAGAATCAAAGCATTCAATTTCGTTTTTTATGTTTTTGTATGTTATGAACTTTTGTGCTAAACAAGTTTTGATGATAATACAGTCTCTTACTGCCCTGAATATAAGGCAAAGTAACACCAACTTGCACTAAATACAGGGCTTATGCTAGTTTTGTTGAATAAAATCAGCAAACAATGTAAATGAAATATGACAACCGGATGCTGCGCTGCCAGAAACTTGTATTATTGTCGGGTAAGTGAAGAAGTTGTTCATAACTGAGATTCATTCACAAACGAATCACTCCCTCCATTAGAATGAGAAGTGAAAGCAGGAGAGGGGGTGTGTTTCAGTCACGGATTAAATCAAAGTAAACAGAAGGGAGGATAATACATTTCTATGCACATAAACACACATTCTTTGACGGCAATACCCGTACACTTATTTATCATTGTAGAAAAGTGATGTAATATTTGCACACTGACCACCTGGAAAGCTCCCAATCATAGATATATGTGTAGATGTGTACATATCTCTGGCTCCGGATGGCCAGTCCTCCACTACACCTTGGTCCCGCATTCATTTCAAAGGAGCGTTACCCTGTACTAAAACGGCGGCTCTATTGAAGCATTTCTACTAATAGACAAAAGCAACAGGATAGGCGATATAATGTAAATATCTATGCACAAATTATATGACGTGCAAACAAATTATATGATTATATGATATTTTCTTCTAAAATGAGCATTTTTCTCCGACTCCTGTGTGTAGGCTCAGTAAGTTTACTTTTAAAGTGACGAATAAGTTATTTACATTGCCTTTGATGTCACATAACTGTACATAAACATAGGAGGCTGACAAAAATTTTCATTTAGGAGAACATTCCAGATGACATTTAGAGGATTTTACATAGGAGCTCTTCATATGCAAACAATATATATATATATATGTAGCCAATTAATGATACAAACGGGAACCCCATGTAGCTACTTTCTTTCTAATTATTAGAAAATTCTGGGCTCAATTGTGCTGACATACCTCTTGAATATGGACCATACAGGTTTTTGGTAGATTCCTCATTGCCAGTATCATACACAATTGGGACAGCAGGTCCATTATCAATGTTGCAGGAGCCGATTCCAAACCTCACAGGGAATTTCTGGAAAATTGAAGATAAAAATATCATTATTACTTTTTGTCATCTTCATCTATATTTTCAGTTACTGTTTTAAAATCTAAAATGATGCCAAAGTTTTATCAAACCATAAATAACTTGAATAGGTTTCCTCCGTGTAGGGTCAGGAAGTGATTTTCAGTGTGGTATCTGAGAATGGAGCCATGGCTCCAGTGTTCCAACTCCATATTATTAGGCACATGCCACACAGAAACATCCTGAGCTGCAATGTCATAGTATCCCGGATTCTGTCAAGTCAAGTTATATTTATTTTTATACAGTAGGATTTACAGTAAATTAGGAGCACAGTAATACAAAAGTAACAAGTGTGAATGTTGCATAATTAATCAATTATAAAATATGTTTAAGCTAAAGCTAAAAACATTGAACCCTGTCCTATATGTTGAGGTATCAGGTTAGTCAAGCCATTATTGCAACAAAATACCTTGTAATCATCACTTGTAGCGGCCTCTGCGGCTCCAAATGTGACTTTGTTTGCCCATGTGCCTTCACCTTTGGGCCGGTTTTCATTGCTGCCCTGTTCACTAGACCAGCGGTCACCACCTGTACACTTTCCATACATGTTGTTTTCGTGAACACTGGCCACCAGCGTCCAGCCGCCGCCTGCAGTGGTCATGTCACAGAACGTCTGGTAAAGGACTCCTCTTGAAGAGATCAGATAGTACAGGCCATCTGTGTGTCAACACAAGCATTCCACAGTCACACACATGCAGATGCTGTCTAACATTACAAAATACATTGTATGATGTATATTGTACCCTCAGTAACATGGTACTTGTCACGGATGTCTTTGCAGCTTCGAGCAATGTATTTCATTCTGGCCATAAGTTTTGACATCTCAGGGTCATTGCTGATATTGATATTAGCAGATGATGGTTCTTGTTGATTTGCTGCAATCCCAAAAATTAAGATTTTAAATTTCTTTTACAAAATCAATGTTAATCCAAACAAAGTAGCCTATTACACTTACTTTGCACATTCTCAAAGAATAACAAATTCAGAGAGAGGCACAAAATGAGCCCTAAAAACATGTTGTGCTCTGAAAAACAGAAGAAAAAAAGATGCACTTTGACCAGTGTTTAACTTAGTCTAACTTAGAAAACTTTATTTATCCCGCAGGAAATTGCTTATGTAATGACTGCCATAACACACAGAACACAGAAACACAAAACCACAAGACAAAATAAATAAATTAAGTAAGTGAAATAAGTCACATAAATCCAACCAATCTATAAAAGAAAACAGCCACAATACATAAGTATACAAACTATTATATAAGATATTACACTTAAAAGAATCAGTGGTAACTAATACTAATAAGTCATATATCAAGTAATGAAAATAATATTAACCAAAACTAATATTACACATAAAACAATTACACATACAATAATTCAAGTAGTAAAGTCATTCAGCACTCATTTAAAAAACAAAGATATTGCACTAAAAATATTTAAGACCCAGTAAAAAAACGTACAAATATTGCACCTAATAGACTATTGCACATCATAGAACATAATGCACAGACTTCCACGCATTAAAACCCGTAATAATTAATTAATATATGGCACGAGCAGCAAGATATTGCATAAATTACTGTGAGGGTAAGTGACTGAGGGAGACGTTATGAAGTCTGATAGCAGTGGGAAGGAAGGATTTTCTGTGGCGTTCAGTGGAACACTTTAAGCTGGTAAGTCTGTGACTAAAGGTACTTCTCAGCTCGTCAACCACATTATAAAGAGGATGATCTACATTGTGCATAATTGACCGAAGTCTGCACAATGTTCTCTTTTCGGCCACAGTCTCCATATTGTCCAATTCCTCACCCACCACAGCGCCAGCTTTCCTAATCAATTTGTTAAATCTCTTCATATCTGCCACTTTTACACTACCACCCCAGCACACCACAGCATAGAAAATGGCACTGGCCACTACAGACTCATAGAACATACGCAACATGGTGTTGCAGACTCTAAAAGATCGGAGTTTACGTAGGAAATACAGCCTACTTTGACCCTTCTTATATGTGACCAGAGAGTTCTTGGACCAGTCCAGCTTATTATCAATATACACACCCAAATATTTATAGTCCTGAACAATCTCCACATCCACCCCTCTAATGGACAAGGGAGTAACTGGAGATCGCCGTGATCTTCTCAAGTCCACCACCAGTTCTTTGGTCTTTTGGATATTAAGCTGCAACTGATTCAGCTCACACCAGTCCACAAAACTGTCCACAGCCATCCTGTATTCCAAGTCGTCCCCCCCCTTAATACATCCGACTATTGCTGAATCATCTGAAAATTTTTGCAGGTGACAGCCCTCTGTGTTATATTGGAAGTCAGATGTATACAGTGTGAAGAGAAACGGTGACAAAACAGTTCCTTGCGGTGCTCCAGTGCTACACAGTACCGTATCGGACTTATTCCCCTGTAGCCGTACGTACTGTGGCCTATCAGTCAGATAGTCCATAATCCACGCAACTAAGGGAGCATGAACCTGCATAGCAGACAGTTTGCTCCCTAGCCGGGCTGGCTGAATAGTGTTAAAGGCACTGGTAAAGTCGAAAAATGTAATCCTCAGGGATGCACTCGGTTTGTCAAGATGGCTGTAGGCACGATGTAACAGGTAAATGATGGCGTCTTCCACTCCAATCTTGGCCTGGTAAGCGAACTGAAGAGAATCTTGCGCTGACCTCACTAGGGGGCGGAGAGTGCCCAAGACCAGCCTCTCAAAGACCTTCATACTGTGTGAAGTAAGTGCTACTGGCCTGTAGTCTGATGGAACACTAGGTCGCGCCTTCTTGGGTACCGGAACCAGACATGATGTTTTCCACATCACAGGAACTTTCTTAATACTGAGGCTCAAATTAAAGATCCTCAGCAGTACTCCACTTAACTGAGAAGCACACAGCTTAAGTACTTGTGTGGTTAATCCGTCTGGACCCGGTGCCTTAGCAGGATGGAGTCTGCATAATTCTCTCCTCACTTGGTCCTCAGTGATGATCATAGGTGGTTTATAAGAGTCTGAGACACCAATGAAAGGAGGAGAGGCGATGGAGGCTTCAGTTGGTACGATGGTGAAAGAGGAGGAAGGAGAGGGCATGAAGTAGGGCAAAATGCTGCAATTTGACGTGACACTATTGGGGGGAGCAGATGCACTAGGTGCAGTAAGGGCTGTGTCAGAGCTGGAGAGAGGCCTACTGTCAAACCTATTGAAAAACATATTAAACTGATTGGCCCTATCCACATCACCATCAGTTCTAGGGCTGCTGGTCTTGAAGCCAGTAATGTTCTTCATGCCTCTCCACACATACCTACTGTTATTCTGTTTCAGCTCTTGTTCCAGCTTTTTCTTATATCTCTCCTTACCCTCCTTTAACCTCACCGACAAGCGCCTCTGTACTTCCTTAGCTGCTTCCTTATCACCTGACCTGAATGCCACCTTCTTTTCATTCAGAAGGGCTTTGATATCTTTAGTGACCCATGGCTTGTTGTTAGGAAAGCAGCGTATGGATTTCAATGGTACAGTACTATCCACACAGAAGTTGATATACTCAGTGACACAGTCTGTGAGGTTATCAATGTCCATACCATGTGGCACGCACAGAGCATCCCAGTCCGTAGTCTGAACACAGAGTTTTGCTATTAGGGTCACTGAAATCTTTACTGACAAATATTTACTTTTGATAATCACATTTTGACCAAGTTACTATTTTAGTTATTTTTGCTTTGTCAATTGTTTTGCGAAAAATGCACTTACCGAGTTGCAGATATCAAGGAGGATTCAGGATTGACTGAAAAACAGGCAAAATTGTTTAATAAGTGACGGTCATGTGCGTTTACTTTTAAAACTATTTACTAATCACAGGATTAAACGAAAATTAAGCATTCGCTTTATGTATTTTTCTTCACATTTATGTGTAAAAGTTTAAGTATTCTTACGGTTGTTTTTGTACTGAGATTCTCCTTGCAACAGCTTTCGCAAGTTTGGGGCGGCGGTCAGGAGGGAGGGAGGAGGGAAAGCTGCAGACCCGGAGCCAGACAGATCTCTCCAGATCTTAGGCTCAGGCGGTTTTATGCCCCTATGGCCTGTTGTTCCTGGTGCGTCCAATAGAGGGAGACTGCGCAGTATTTTTATTTATTTATTTATTGCAATTTTAGAACACAGAACACACAAGGGCAATAACAACATTATATTGACATCAAAACAAATACAATATAAAAAGAAAAGAAAAAAATACAATTATTTACAGACAAAACTTAAGGCTTTAACATATTAACAGTTCTTTCTGCTTTGGTATTTTTTGTTTCTTTTATCTTGTATTAATATGAGCCTTATCAGAATAGTATCAAATCTAAAAAATAAACAACGCGATGAAGAGATGTTAACGTTTAGCAAATGTTAAACTGTGCAACATTTCTAAATAATAAACAACTGGATTAAGGTCGATATAAGTAGGCCTATATAGGTCAATACGTCAACTGATCGCTATAATGTATATTGAGTTACTGTGAGTTTTCTGAATTATTTCAATCAAGTTTGTTAGATTTTTTTTAGTATTTATTTATTTATTTTTGTTCAAATTAAACCAAATAGAAAGAAAGTATTTCAATCCCCAAAGAAAAAAAAATACCTATAGCAAAAGTTAAAATATACAGTAGCATGATAAGAACTGAATTTAAGTACATAAGAAGTAAAAAAAAAAATATATATATATATATAAGAAATAGTATTATTCACATCAATTTAAATAGTACAGTGAACAAATGTAATATGTCAAAAGTAAATATAGCAAATATATAAAAATGTAAAAATAAAATTTGATTTATATATCAGTTAGAAAAAAAACTACAAAAAGTTATACTTATGAAGAGAAAGATTTTTTCATAATTGTATTTATTTTTCTTTCATTTCACGATTGTATTAATTCTAATTTTCTCTGAAAGTAAAGTTTTTACTGCTAAAACGTCTGTCTGGTCTTTGTGTTAATGTGTTTTGTTTTGCCCTATTTAGTATTTTTGCTGTTACTGTTTATCATTTATATTGATATGACTAAACTATTCATTGCATAGTGCTAGTCATATTGTTGTCAATAAATAAATCCTAATTATAAGTATATATGTTTTTTACTTTTTTATTTTGTCAGCTAGGTAAATTATCCATAGAATTTTAGAAAGGTGTGAACTTTGTCTTGAAGTTCTACAGTTATCCATTACCACAGTTATATCAATAATCAATACTATCATTAGTTTGTTTCGCTATAAATTGCTTGTATCTCTCTATATGAAAACGTATTAAAAGGCTTCAATTACTGATTCAACTGTGTTGTTGATTTATTTATTTTTTTGTTAAGAAAACAGTGAGTATATAATGTGTGTACATTTAAACATATCCTTATCTGAAACATTATTATATATAATAATGTTTCAGATAAGCATACGTTTAAACATTGACATCATATAAACTCTATAGAGTTTATGTGGTCAATGTTTTTTCTGACCTTCTGAAAGGTTTCCTATGTGTAGTTTTAGGAAGTGATTTTCAGTGTGGTATCTCAGGATAGGCAAGTGTTGAACTGTTCTAGATCACTATTAGCAACATGGCACACAGAAACATCCTGTGCCACAATGTCAAAATATCCAGGATTCTGACAAGCCACATCAAAAATAAAATGTAGTTTGTTTCAAAGCAACTTTACAGTAATAAAAGAAAAGAACAAAGACTACTGCTCTTTTATTTTATTTTCGGCTTAGCCCCTTTATTAATCAGGGGTCACCACAGTGGAATGAACCACCAACTTATCCAGCATATGTTTTACACAGTGGATGCCCTTCCAACTGCAACCCATCACTGGAAAACACCCATACACACAAATACACTACGGACAATTTAGCTTACCCAATTCACCTATACCACACGTCTTTGGACTTGTGGGGGGAACCAGCGCACCCAGAGGAAACCCATGCGAACAAAAGGAGAACATGTAAACTTCCCATAGAAATGCCAACTGACCGAGCCGAGGCTTGAACCAGCAACCTTCTTGCTGTAAGGTGACAGTGCAAATCAAGACAAGCCTTAATGTTGCTAAATTATTTATGATTAATTTATTTTTTATTTATAAACTTTTTGTTAAAGCAGCTCTCCGGTATAGTGTCATATAGGTCAATTTATGTTGATTCAATTCAAACCAATAACAGCTGTAAAGCCATGAAGTAGCATCACAGAAGTGTCATTATTTAGTTGTATAGTGCAATCAGGCAGATACTTACACTGTGGAGATCCCTGATGAAGAAGGGAAAGGGAGCCAGTGGTAGAAAAGTAAATAAGTTGTTAGTTCAGTCAGTTCACTATCAATCTTTTTTCATTTCTTATTTCCGTTTCTGTTCAATAAAGTAAATTCAGCTTATTAACAATAAAACTAATTCAGTTCAGCTATTGTATCAGCTATTGCGGGTTTTTTATGTGTTTTTCGAGCATTCTGGTGAGTCGATTCTAGATGGATGGATGGATGGATGGATGGATGGATGGATGGTTAGGTTTATGATAGCAGATAAATAAGGGACTAAGCCGAAGGAAAATGAATGAAGGAATGTTTGTGATTTAAAACAGGCAATTAAGATTTTATTTTGGTTTTATATATATTTCCATTAAGGACAGTTATAAGGAGAATCGTGTATACTGTATGTTTAAAATGATAATGTACTGAATATGAGTTTAAAAACTAGAAAAAGACACTTGAAGAGTTCAGATGCAAAACCCTCTAAATCCATCAGACCTCTTTTCTTGTAAATGAGCATTTTCTATCAGGCTCCTCTGATTAGGTTTAGAAGTTTCATTATATATATATATATATATATATATATATATATATATATAATGAAAAGGTTATTAGCCAGTAAATAAAATAACTTTTTTATTTCCAAAAATGTCACTTTAGACAATTCTTTGGTTTTTAACAAAGTAAATTTTCTTTTGCTTCAAAACCAGCTAAATCCACTTTTTGCTTTTTTGCAAAACCCTCTAAATCCACCTATTAGGACAAGACATTATAGTTAGATTAAAAACCACTAAAGATGCTATTAGAGATTATTTTACCAAACATAAAACACAAACCACCTGAAATTAAAAATAAATCTGTCAAGTAAGTGGCGGTTCATTCCGCTGTGGTAACCACTGATAAACCAGGGAAAAAGCTGATGGAAAATGAATGAATGAAAACTTGTGCACATTAGTCAATAACATTAAAATTGACATGAATTAAATCTTAACAATCTGTTGTCATTTCTGATATTCAAGATTTAGATTTAATGTAAGTAGTGCAATGTACACATTGCAAACATTGTAAACTACGCTTGTTAGATTCAAATAATGTAGTGTAAAAATATTGTGAAACATTGTCAATATCTGTGCATTGTCCATTACTAAAAAAATAATTTATTGAAGTAATATAAATATTGTATAGTTTTATACATTATGTTTATCTTTTAAAACATATAGCTTGCTTTTGAAAAAGAAACACAATGTTGGCCTAGTGTGCAAAAAAGAGGATGTCCCTCAGGAGCTGTCATTTATTCATCCTAATTATATGCAAGATTTCTTTTTCGTCTCTTAATTATCTTCATAGCATCCATGCAGGATAAAAGAACGGCATTTTAACTTCGTCTCTCGTGAAATGGAGTTGCTGTTTAATGTAGCTATAGTTTGGGTATGGGGTGTCGGTGGGGTATGGGACGATCGGTAAGTGAAGAGCGGAGGGAGAGGGGGTTGGTCAGATTGGTTGTGCGGTACGTCTCTCAAGGCAAGTGGCGTTCACCGGGGATTTAGATGATTTCAAACAAAACTATGTTGAACATGTACTACATGCCTAAAGCATTCATTCAATGTCATTAGCTCATTTTTTGGCCAAAATGGTGTTTAGCGGCTTTTGCAATTAAAAAACTCTCCACCTGTTAAATGGTAAACTGTGATTACAACAAAGGAAAGAAAGGTTTGATCTGTCAGCGATAAAAGAGAAGCACCGCTGCTTCAGTTAACTCTCTGGAAGCACTCCAATCTGTATTAGTGCCATAGCCACTCCAGTCAAAACTTGTAAAATCTCCACATTGTCTAGGAGATTCAGGAAAGTGTCCACCTCCACCAATACAGAACTGAAGGGAAAAAAGGACATTTCTGTTGTAACTAAATATCTTCATTTATACACCAAAGCTCATCAACAGAAAGCATAATATTTGAACTCACATGTTCAGTGTGACAACCAGTCGGTTTAACACCAGAACAAAGAGCCATGGCTGCCTTCTCAGTATTGAGGACTCTGAATGTGATGAATCCAGGCTCAGATATTGCTGAAAACATCCACAGAATATAACATTAATAATGATGTCATGGTGGGTCAATGCAAAAATGACTTCTTTACTTACTTTTAATTATTAGAAATTATGGGCTCAGGGTGCTGACATACCTCTCGAATTAGGACCATAGAGTTTTTTTGGTTGATTCCACATTTCCACTATCATACACGATCGGGACAGCAGGTCCATTATCAATGTTGCAGGAGCCGATTCCAAACCTCACAGGGAATTTCTGGGAAATTAAAAATATTATTGTTATTACTGTTTTTAATTTTAATACTTCACAAAACTGTTATATTTGTCAATATTTTTAGCAAATTTAAAAAAAAATCCAAAATGATGCCAAAGTTTCATCAAACCATAAATAACTTGAATAGGTTTCCTCCGTGTAGGGTTAAGAAGTGATTTTCAGTGTGGTATCTGAGAATGGAGCCATGGCTCCAGTGTTCCAACTCCATATTATTAGGCACATGCCACACAGAAACATCCTGAGCTGCAATGTTATAGTATCCCGGATTCTGTAACATTTCAAGTAACATTTAAAATATATAAAATTAAGATTGCTTTGAAGCAATAAAAAAAGTATCAAGTGCTAATGTTGCAACAAAATACCTTGTAATCATCACTTGTAGCGGCCTCTGCGGCTCCAAATGTGACTTTGTTTGCCCATGTGCCTTCACCATCAGGCCG